GGGGGGTAGCGACAACAACATCTTTTGCCGGGGGCCCAAAAAACAACAACGGGGCTGCAGTTTTTGCCTCTAGGATTGGTAGAGGGTCTAAGTAGAGGTTGTACAGAGGCTTAGCTGACCGGACTACCACTCCCACTACTACTACGACGACGACTACTACTACCACTACCACTAGCACTACCACTACCACTACGACGACGACGACTACTTCTACTACTGCTTCTACTATTTCTACTACTACTACTACTACCACTACTACTACTACCACCACTACTACTACTACTACTACTTACAACATCTTACAACTGCCTACTACTGCCTACTACTGCCTACTACTGCCTACTACTGCCTACTTCTACCTACTACTACTACTTCTACTACTACTAGTATTATTACTACTACTACTGCTACTACTACCACTACTACTCCTACTACTCCTACTACTCCTACTACTACTACTACCCCTACTACTCCTACTACTCTTCCTACTCCTACTACCTACTACTCCTACTACCTGCTACCTGCTACCTACTGCCTACTTCTACTTCTACTACTCCTACTACTACCACTACTACCTACCACTTACTACTTACTACTTACTACTTACTACGTACTACGTACTACGTACTACGTACTACGTACTACGTACTACTTACTACTTACTACTTACGACTTACTACTACTACTACTCCTACTACTCCTACTACTCCTACTACTACTACCCCTACTACTACTACTACTACCACCTACTACCACCTACTACTACCTACTACTACCTACTACTACTTCCTACTACCACTTCCTACTACTACAACCACGACGACTACAACCACTACGACTACAACCACTACTACAACCACCACCACCACGACGACTACTACTACTACTACCACCACCACTACCACTACTACCACTACTACCACTACTACCACTACTACCACTACTGCTACTGCTACTCCTACTACTACTACTACTACCACTACCACTACCACTACCACTACTGCTTCTGCTACTGCTGCTACTACTACTACTACCACTACTACTATTACTACTTCTTCTACTACCACTACCACTACCACTACCACTACTGCTACCACTACCACTACTACTACTACTACTAATACGAATACGAATACGAATACTAATACTAATACTAATACTAATACTGATACTACTACGACGACGACTACTACTACGACTACGACGACGACGACTACCACTACCACTACCACTACCACTACCACTACCACCACCACTACCACTACCACCACCACTACCACTACCACTACCACTACCACTACCACTACCACTACTACTACTACTACTATTACGACCACCACCACCACCACCACTACTGCTGCTGCTGCTGCTACTACTACGACGACGACGACGACGACGACGGCGAGGACCACGACTACGACTACGACTGCTACAACAACGGTTCTTATTAGTACTAGTCCCACTAGTACTAGCACTAGCCTAGCACTAGCACAAGCACTACCACTACTGGTAAAAGTACATGTTGGCTGGTTGTTTTCGGGGGGGTCAAAACAACGACGGGGCTGCAGATTTTGTTTCCACCCCCTTTTAGAGACAAAGGAACAAGATATGTTGTAACGGGGCTGTGGTCTTTGTTTGTACCTTCTTGTTGTTGTTGTTGTTGTTGTTGCTTTCCCAGTGAGATGGTGCATGCACACTGCAGTCACAGAAGAGTTCGGACTGTTCCACTGACCTTGAATGACACACCTGATGTAAATTTGACATTTTGATAAGATCCGACAGGGCTGTAAGACTTGGGCAGTGGTCAATTTTCCAGATTTCATATATATATATATAGTTTTGGCTGCCAGGAGAATGGGCCGAATGGTTTCCTTTACCCTTTCAGCTGTAACTTCTTGGTCTTTTCAAACGGTTTGCCTCTATTCAAGGTATGGCCAGCGAGAAGGCGGACAAGCAGCCTGGCATCCGTGATCACTTTCTTTTTGACATCTCAAGCGTTTCCTTGTAATTCTTTTACCCTTCCTACTTCAGGAACCGCGTGTCCGTGGCAACTAAGGAACATCTACATTTGCCCCACCTATTGCGTCCCCACACGGCGGCCCTACTTCGTGTTCGCCGCCCAGCTGCGGACCAAGGCGCCGGCCGACAAGTGGGTCCTCGCAGGCGCGGGGACCGGGAGGTTTGAGAAGGCAATGACTCTCTGCCAGCGTTGACACCGGCATCAAAGCTGGGGAGACGGGGGGAATCGTTTTATTCTATTTATATTTGTTTTTTGTGTGTGAAACCGTGTCTTTTTTTGGTGTTTGTATTTGAGTGTGAACGTTTGTTTCATCATGTTTCATCCTTTCAATTGGAGCCATGTGATCTCCAGACGCAAGCCCTTGGCCATGTTATTTTGGCCACGAGAATAAACTCCATTGGTTTTCATTCCAAATTTGTGCCCCGCTGTGGTGAAACAATGACAAGCATCTGGGGTCATTTTGCATTCATGATTGGAAACTGGAAACTGAACATTTTTTTGAGGGTCTCCAGAAGCATTGTGCTATGTCACCCCAGCGAACCGAAATTTGCACAGCTCTATAAATTGGTGCCACGTGTCCAGGTCCAACGATTGGTTCAGGTACCAACAACCGAAGTGGTTCGCAGCGGAAACCGTTCGCCAGGAGTTGCGATGATCCTGGACATCGGTGCCTAGGCGACGTGAGGCCCGGCTTAGCCAAAGCCGTTGTCCCAGTAGATTTGGATGGAACATGCGTCCCGTGTTCTGAAGACCGTGTTCTCAGGGCGAACGACCTGGAATCTGAGATGGCGGGCGCGCGCTTGGCCACCCGCAGCCAATTCTGGAGAGAGTGCACTTGGAGCTTAGAAGAGAGAGAGAGAGAGAGCTACTGTGCAGAAGCTTCAGGATTATCCTTCTAGTTCCTGCAAGGCTGCAGATTAGCAGATAGAACAGAACAGAGGTCAACTTCGACACCATCATCCAAAGTTGACGTTTGTTCGTACGCGCTGCCAAAGAGCCAAAGTGACATACATCGTTGGACTCAACGCAACCCATTTGTATCCATTGGTGGGTCACGTTTCCACACACTTTGGTGCACACATGTACCTGGGACCAGCAGTGTGCACTGGGTAGAGGAAACTAACAAATGCCAAACAGTAGGGGGTTGTTAGTCAGATGATCTTGTGGTGAAGCTTTGCACGGTTTTTCCAAGAGCTCTGCCGTAACCTGACAGAGTGCAAGTCGACCTAAACTCCTGCAGGACTGTGCATGTGCAAGGACAAAAAAGAGAAACATGCCCATGGAAGGCACTCATATCTGAGAAACATGCCCATCAAAGACGAGAAGTTCGCTCAATCCACACCACTTCCACTCTCCCTCGACCCAGGATCGACGGTGCGGCCGCCCGGGGCCAAGTGGAGGAGGCCGAGCTCTGGTTGCAGCGGCTGCGGGAAGGCGAGTGGCGAGTGTCTCGTTTGGGCTCAAAGGAAGGAGAAAAAGGATCAAACGAGAAAAATGAGAGAGAGAGAGAGGTGTGTTTGAAAGGCATTCTGAAGACACCCTCGGAGAGCACCTTATATACATAGATTGATAGTTCTGGCTTATGTCCTCATGACCAGTTTTAGAAGAGCTTAGCTTAGTTGCTAATTGCACTCAGATCTACTGTAGATGGCTTCCCTGCTTTGTGGCGTTCGTGTTATATCCAACTCCCCCGTCCAAGCAAAGCAGAACCATCTCACAGACAGCGAAGAAGAAGAAGAAGAAGAAGAAGAAGAAGAAGAAGAAGAAGAAGAAGAAGAAGAAGTAGAAGAAGAAGAAGAAGAAGAAGAAGCACACACATTATGTTTGCTTTTTTCAGTGCCGCCAAGGGAAAGACATGATGAACTACTATTAGCCTATCTCCTCCAAAGATTGAGCATCTACAATAAGTTGGACTTGGACTTCCGGTGGTGTCAGAAGACCGTGTCAAAATGAGGATGGTTGTACTGCCCGTTTGATGCGTGAACAGTTGGCAGAAATCATTGTGCAATGTTGTCCAGCCGAGCACACGACTTCAAACACTTGAGGGGTAGGGCCGGGTAAGGTTTAGCCCTTTCACAACATTTGAAGCACTTTTCGAATCACCCAGTCCCAAGCCTCATTACCGCAAACAGCCAAACCTGGAAAAAGAGAAAACGAGTGACAGACAGAGGGGGAGAGGGAGCAGGGAGAGGGAGAGTGCACAGTGGAGAGATGATTGGAAGCTGCCCGTGGCAAGTCAATAGCCTTGTTTGTGAAACTTGAGCCCGTTACCCAAAGCCCCAACCCTGAAATGCGCAACATCTCTTGGGTAGGTTCAATCATGTTTCAGCTTTTCCAGCTGTCCTGGCCCAGCTGCTCAGCTGGCTTCATGCCGAATGCCATCACTTACACCTCCCTCATCAAGTCGAGGCGGGCAAATTCTTCGAGTCTTTGCTGGAAGAAAAGCTGACATAACATGCCCTCATTCGTGTGGGGTTCTAAATGTTTGCTGCCTTGGTGAACTGAATCACTAAAAGTGATAGAGAAGGACGGACAGCATACCTTTTCTTGAGCAGGTCAAGGGAGACGGCTGCAGAAACAAGTGAATGGGAATCGACCGCCGGAGAGCCCTTTCAATTCACCCGGGGGACCCCAGTGAGCCTTCCATCGTGCTTTGTACGATCGTTGGTTCTCCCGCTGCCTGGCTCGCTGTTGCCATATTGGGTCCTCACATAGTGACTACTCATTGGATTTCATGAAATCCACCAGCATGCGATTGCCCTTGTCCTTCGTCAATTCATCCGCCAGCTGTTGAGGGCCAGGCACCCAACGGCAGAAGGAGTTGTTCTCATCGTTGAGGAGAGACTCCTTCAGCGCTAGCATGTCCAGTGCAGTGCGACGATCCTGGGGCAAGGAATCAGACCGCAAAGTATCGAAGGCGGTCTTAGCCTCAAGCACCAGCAACAGTTCCCAAGCACGAACAAAGTGAGCCCATCGTTTGACTTCGAAGTTTTCCATCATGATCTCACGAAAAAGAGCTCGGCTCTCACATACTCACCATGTTCAAAAGCCAGAGAGGCTGAGCTGGCTTCAATAGCCATGGAGGATCGCACAACTCGCTTGCAGGAAGAACTCTGCCACTCGATCAGGTTCATTTTGGCTCCTCCTTTTTTGATGGAAGGACCACACCAACCAGCCACCCCTGTTGACCCTTTCCTTCGGGCATAGTTCCATAGGCACCGTCGGAAGAGACAACGAAAAGGACCTCCCACAAATCACATTGAAAACAAAATTCAAAGTCAGCTCTTGGTGCAAGGTCTTGACCACAGCATTGACCAGACGCAAGAGCTTCACCGTTGGATTCTTCATGCTTTGCTGGAGGTAGGCGTAGGTTCTGGGACCATCACAGTCGGCCCTTGTGTCTCTTCGGTGCCTCCTTTCCCAGCCGCGCTGAGGTTATTCTCAGTCTCGCGCGGTGCAGGACCAGAGACACTTTCATCAGAACTCACGCTCGGGCCGCCTGTCCAACCTGGCGCTTCATGATCTCCTTCCTCCTCCGCCTCATCTTCATAGCCAGGTGGCCGTCGTTGTCCAGTGACATGGCGTCCAGGATGTAGCGTGACCCCACCTCTTCTTCAGCCGTGGCCAGACGGACATCCTCCAAGGCAACTCGAATCACTGTCCCCTTGTAGCGGACCCAGAGTTTCCCCGTCAAGACAGGCAACGACGGCAAGCCTTTGATAGCCAGTAGCAAAATCTTGCGTACGACGATGTTGTCCTGGCTGCTTCGTGAAGTAATTGGCTCGCACGTGTGGTGGTCGGGACCTGCTATGCAAGTCCACTCGGATCTTCTCATGAGCATCGAGCCAATGGAAAGCAGCGGCCGCCTCTCGCGTCATGCGCTCCATTTTGACTTGTCCCTCATCCTCCAAGATGGCACTGTTTGTGCCATGACGAACTTCTCCTTGATCGTTCTGGTCAACCAGCGAAGACGGTAGAGGATCATCTCGGCCTTGTAGGGGAGATTTTCCGCGCTGACAGTGTAACTTGTTCTTCGCTTGCGCACACTCATGGTCAAGGCATAACGCAGCTCACTCTCCTTGTAGAGGACCAGTTCATGGATGACCTTGAGGAACATGAGCTTGAGCAGCGCCCCATGGCGCTCAGCCAGCCCATTCTTCCATTTGGAAGATGTCGGCAGCGCTTCCAATTGGATGTCGTACAATCGGCACAGGGCGATGAAGTGTCCCCGGAACTCGGGCCTCCATCAACACTCAACTTGCTCATGGGGCCATGAACGGTGATCCACTTGTCAAACAAAAGGTCACAGCTATGTTTGGATGCAGGATTCTTGGAGAGTTGGGCATACTGCCGTGTGCAAAAACCATCCACTAGGTGCGTGACATTCCACCGTTGGCCCCGAGCGTCCCGCAGAGATGTGGGCATTGAATCGTCCCGGATTGGTCGCCCCAACCTGTGGTGCAGACAAGGGTTGACGAGCTCGAGCACAGATTTCACAACCGATGTCCTTGGCAGCCTGCGCCACTTCTTTCTTGGCTCCTTGAAGATGAAGCATACGAGCAAGTCGTTCATTGGAGGGATGTCCCAAGGTGCCATGTAGGTTAGCTACTTGATTTCTAATGGCCTTGTTCACTCGCAAGCTCGCTCCAGCGAAGGTGACATAGCCATAACGACTCCCAATTGCACCAAAATCCCCTTTTCGCTCGTCTTCTTCTCGTTGACGGCGACGGAACATCGTGTTGATGGTGGCATCCGCCAGCATCTCCTCGGCAGCCACCCCCGTCATTTAGCGCCGCCTCAGATGTGTCCTCCGTCAGGGCCAAAGGCCAAATGATCATGTACTTGTTGGAGCTCACCGCGATGGAAACAGATATGATCAGGAAAACAGGTGGTGCACCATCCCTGACGACAGTTGTCGCACCAATTCTTGCCCAGCTCATAGCACTCACCTTGGCCACAATCCTGCTGGTAGTAGTGCTCTTGGAGGAAGCCGCCTTCGGAGGTGTCAGCGACATCCTCAACGTCAGCCACATAGGTCAGAACTCCGGCCTTCGTCCATGTGCCGGCTGCCAGAGAGCGGCTCACCAGACTTGCCATCCAACCTGGATTGCCCCTCAATGGGCTGATGTTGATGAGCGCCATGGTTGCGCAAGGCATCCTTCATCAGGGCGACGGCAAAGACTTCCGAATTGACATCGAGGGCTGCCGGTTTCCGATACAACCGTTGATTCACGGGATCACAAAGCCCAAAACGGCACTGGTCGACCACAGCTCTGAGCACGTGCTCCCGATTGCGCACGCAATCCAACAAAACAAGACGACCAGCTCGATGTTGCTTGGCCCACACTCGAGCACAAAACTCCCAAAACGGCATGTGCAGTGAACGTTTGAACTCAACTGCAGATGCATCATTGAGATTCTGTAAGGGAGACCAAGGACCACAAGGGTCTCGCTGAGCTTTTGGCGTCATAAGATCTACTGGTTCAAGCGCGATCCACCGTCCCGTGGACCGAGACGAGGATGCACTACCACCAAAAATCTCCAACACTTTCCACAGACTTCATGGACAGAACTAGCCACCATGGACAAATGTTCAACAGCTTGTTGTACACTCTTGATGTCTAGCTTTAACTGTTGTACTTGTCCTCTCTCCCAATTTTTCAACGGAGTCGGAGATGGCTGTTTGCTATCCGGTCTCACTTCATCAAGGGAGGTCCTCGCGGCCCGGCCAGCGTGCGAGACGCCACACCCAGATGCCCCCACAGCGCTGCTATCTCGCGCCCAAACATGAACGCCAGCCACCGGGGGTGGCGACGCCACTGGATCTTGTGGTGCTGCGTGGCCGCCCTGGCCCTCAGCCGCCAAACCAACTTCTTTCACTGGAAGGTCATGAGCCGGCCGTGGGTCACCCAGGAGGCGTTGCACACCACATCGGCGCTCCTCGTGAGTCCCAACGTCAGGAAGTCGGCCTCCCCGGTGACCTCGAGCTTCTGCTCCTTCTTGTTGCGGGTCTTGAACATTACAACTTCCTTCTGGGTCACCTTCCCGATGTCCTCCTCGGCAGTATCTGCCTTCCCCTTGATCTTGCCCTTGGAGGTCTTGACAGCTGGCTTCTGTCCCGTTGAGCTCGCGCCCATCGAATCGTCCAGCCGCGTGCCCGCTGCCATCTTGTGTGCTGTTGGCGAGGTCAACTGCTCGAACTCCCCGTCGCTCCACTCTGGCACTTCGAGCTCTGGCATCAGCTGCTCGTCCAAGGATGCCAGCACTCCCACAGGCTCCTCCACGCGCCGGGTGCGCGCCCTCCGTGTGGTCTCCGCTCGGCTGGCGGAGGTACGGGAGATGTGAGCGGAGGACAGCCGTTTGCCACTCCCTGAGCCAGGAACGGTGGCCGGACTTGTTCAGACCCTTGCCAACTGGTGTACCCTCACGGAGCTCAAAGATTTGCATCTCTTCATGAACAATCTTGGGTTACCCACCGTGATATTCGGACTAGAGAATGGGGCACATTAACGTACATAGCGGCAATGCTTTAGTCTCAAAAAGGTAAACTCAGCGAGAAGGGGTCAGGAGCCTCATTTTCTAGTGACATGTAGGTCACTAGAAAACGAGGATCACAGGTCTCATAGTGCTGGCAGGTTCATTTTCTGGACATCACCCTGTTTTCTTGACCCCACCCTGATCCTCATTTTCTAGTGGGGGCTCCTCATTTTCTAGCGGCATTTTGGTGTCTCGACCAGCGCAAGGTACACCCAAATCCTCAGACACTGCCATACCGTACCATTCCATATCTGGCGCAGGCCAATTCCCTAGAAAATGATGGGTTACACCCAAAAACCTCACACATTGCCATACGCCAGAAATGGAAAGGTAGGGTATCCAGCCAGACCAATTCACTAGAAAATGATGGGTTGTAGGTCTTTAGGGTGTGTTCCTCATTTTTGCGTCTCACCCAAATCCTCAGACACTGCCATACCCTGCCATTCCATATCTGGCACTCTGGCCAGAAATGGAAAGGTAGGGTATCCAGCCATAGAAAATGATGGGTTCTAGGTCTTCAGAGTGTGTTTTGGTGTCTCGACCAGCGCAAGGTACACCCACATGGCTTTGGTGTCTCGAGAAATTGAAAGGTAGGGTCTCCAGCTAGACAAATTCACTAAAAAATGATGGGTTCTAGGGTGTGTTCCTCATTTTCTAGTGGCTCTGGTGCCTCGACTAGCACAAGGCACCCAAATCCTCAGACACTGCCATACCCTACCATTCCATATCTGGCACTCTGGCCAGAAATGGAAAGGTAGGGTATCCAGCCAGACGCATGCACTAGAAAATGATAGGTTCTAGGTCTTTGGGATGTGTTCCTCATTTTCTAGTGGCTTTGGTGTCTTGACCAGCACCTGGTACACCCAAATCCTCAGACACTGCCATACACAGAGTTTGGTAGATGTTGTTCAATCAACTTAGCTTTTGTATGCTTTGTTTGCTTTTGGACGTCCTCACAACATTTAGATGATGTAGGAGAAAGCAGGATCAAAGCAGGATCCGCTAAAGAATGACGATCACACGTCAAGGCACCAGGGCATTCACTAGAAAATGCCAAGCGCAGGTTCAAAAAGAAGACGCGCCGATCACAGGTCCCAGAGGTGTGTCATTTCCTAGTGATTCACTAGATTATGCCAATCACGGGTTCATGAACCTGCGTTTCTCATTTTCTAGGGAGCTGGCATTCATCATTCCCCGTGATTTTCATGGGGGATCTTGGGTTGATGCCCTTGTTGCAACAATGTACGCCATGACGGCCAATGTGCTGTGAAATCATCAACGCCCAAAAGAAAATGATCCTCGCCAGAAGTGACAAAGTGCTTGCCCTTGACTCCCAACTTGTTCAAATCATTCCTGCCAGAGCCGCTGTCCAAATGTAAACCCAGTGCAACGCAAACACCTTTGGACAGCAAGGGGGGGCAGGGGTATTCCACAGCGTTGATTGCCAGCAGGCCAACATGACCAGACAAGCCTACTTCCAAGAACGCACAATACTTTGAGGGCCGTCGTTCACCATCACCAAAACGAAAATATTCCATAGTTCGTTGCACTTCAACAAAACGACCCTGCTGCCGACAACGTGCGGCCTCACGAAGAACCCATTGCATACCGGCCACCGACCGGAGACAACCCAAATCAACAACCATGCGAGCTGTGACCAAATCTGCATTGGAAGGTGCATTCACCAAAGAAACAAAATCCCCACCATGAGCAGTAAGCGCCATGTATGCACGGCCAGTTGATTGCTCCTTGAGCATCTGCTACAAAGCAGCTGACATTGCAGCATGGTCACCCTCTGGAGTTGCCCCCTTGGCATTGCGAGGGCGCCCCGGGTCCTTGCTCCAGTGCCCCAATTGTCCACAAGCACAACATGGATTCTTTGCCATCAACTTCTTCAAATGAGCCTGCCGATCTGGTTGTGCAGCGGGCTCTGTCCTCTTGAAGTATCCTCGGGCCTGTTTCAAGGCCTTGAGCTTGGCTTGAAATGTAGTGTATGCTGCCATGGCAGCATGAGTAGCCGCTTCCAGCTCTTCCGGCACTGGTCCATCGACCTCAGCCCAGCCCTCCAAGTCCTCTTCTTCTCCACTATAGCCTGTTGACTCCTCGACAACATGAGCCTTGTAGGGCTGCCACGGTTTCCTGCCCTCACGATGGCCTCCAACGCCATCCCCGCCTCGAGTGAGGCGGTCTGGCTGTTATGGTCAGGAAGGAGCTCTGGAAGTAGTGGAGCGTCAATGACCCCCTTCCCAATCGGCACCGTGCCTTGGAGAAAGGGTCCGCGGGAATCGCTGGTCATCGTGTTTTGGGCAGCCGCCAACACCATCACCCAATCCTTCAGGGTCAGCTCAGCGTGGTCCAGGATGTAGCCAACCAGGAACCTGTCACCCACTGCAAACGTGGAGTCTTCCTCTTCCATCACCGAACGCTGAGCCTGAACACGCATGATGAAGGACTCCATGGACTCGCCGGACTGTCTCCGGCATCGAAGAAATTCTCGTTGCGCTTTCTCTCCGCGCTGGCCATCCAACTTCTTGACCATAGGCGAAGCCCCCAAGGCGCGGAACACCATGTCTAAGCCGCCTTCCTTGCCGACCTCCTCGATCTGCAGATGGCGGACAATGAGCGGCATCCGGAGATGCGCTGGGTGGGTTGGCTGGTGATGGGTGTGGATCAGGTGAAGGGATTGGTGGGGCGGTGGTGGGAGGAGTAGACTCAGTGGCTGTCGCTGGGGGATAGACTGATGGATTGGCTTCATGGTGGGCCGGTGCTGCGACAGGAATGCCTGAGTGCGTGGCAGCCTGTGGAGGGGGCGGTTGTGCCCAAACGGTGTGACAAACATGGCTGGTGAGCCCCAGGGTGAAATGGGGTCGGACGATTGGATTGGAGCCAAGTAAGACGAAGTGGGTAGTGATTGGATCGTAGGCGGGAACTGAACAATGTGTGCGGTTGGCATAGGTCCAAGCTGAGGCTGCAAACTGGTAGGTGTCAAAGTCGATGTGTATTGAATAGGTTGATGTGTCATGTGTGACGGAATCGGTGGGATTTGAAACTGCATCGTTGGCATCGATCCATAAGGAGCCGAAGGAGCCGTCAGTGATGTAGCTGGAGGGAGGGGCCTGAGGGCCCATAAGGTGCCGTAGGGGTCGTCATCGGTTGAACTTGATGATGAGGTATCCACTGGTAGTTCATGGCAGGAAGGCAAGATGAGTGATGCATGCGCTGACATGTCTGAGTCCTAAGCCCCGCCTGTGGTTACCTAGACGTGCCAACTGTACAAGTGAATACTTAGACACATGCCTGAAAGTGCAAATCCTGACTGGATCGTTAGTCTCAGTGAGCCCCGCGGCATGGTATCAGTGGTATCGTGCATAACGGTCAACCAAAGGGGGTTGCAGAACGAAGTCCCAAAGCAGAGACGAAGGATGCAGGGTGGGTCCCCCAGGATCTGGGTCTATGCACATGCAGCGCCCCTCGATGGGGATCACGCCACAGCCCTCAGTGGGACCCTGTGGCGATACACACTTAGATGGTTGCTCGCAAGAGCTAGGATCAGAAGGAAGTCCCCCTTGACTTGATGAACAGACAGAAACACAAACCGAAAGGTGGTGGAGTCGGCGAATTTGTAGATGCTTAACATTGTTTGGAAAAGCATTAGGCGCTTTAAACACCGTAGTAGACAGCTTATTCAACAGTTCAAACCGTTAAGGTACACGGATTGGCGTCCCAACCTGCTTCACGGAGTAGCCATAGCTGTCTTCGTTGGCAGCAGAACTGTGGACTCCCTGCTGCCCCCTGCTGCTGTACAGTGGAAAGTTGATGGAAGCAGTGCGGAAGTGATGATTTCTCAAAACCTGCGGGGTAAGGAGCGTGGAAAGCCTTAGGAACAGGTGGTGACACACACACACACATATTGTGTGTATAATACGGTAAAATAATTCAAGTTTGCACATCATGTTTCTTCAACCAGTCTCTTAGGCTCTTTCACCGCGATGGCTGTGTCCATAGCCGCCAGGGCCAAGTTTGGGGACCTCCCTGGGGCAGTGCGCTGGCTGAGCGAGATGGTGAGCACCCAGACGACGCCCGACGTCATGGCCTACACTGTCGGGTGCTCACTGCACAACTCGAGCGACGTCAGGACGTCAGGTCCCCAAAAGCATCACCCAGACTGTGAGACTGGTTGGTTCGGGAGGTGTGCAGTTTCCACCAGCCCACTAAACAATATTGAGCACACATTCATAGATGGACAATGAAACTTTAGAAAACGATGTGCGTTCCGGTGAGTCACTCTTGATCCACTGTCAGCGTTCTTTTTAGCAAATGGCCCCAAGGCGATCATCCACTGCAGCGCCAAGAAGGGCAACGTGGAGGAAGCGACGAGGCGGGTGACCCAGCGAGCTGGGTCAGCGGCTCCTGGGATGAAGCATTCACTGGTGGAATTAATAATCGTGAGGTATTGAAGGATGTTTCAATCCCTGAAGTCCCGAACGCTCCATGCCGCTCAACTCATGCTGATACCATCACGAGGTGGTTTCAGCGGATGTCCTTGAACGACCTCAAGGCAGGCCTTCGCGGCCGTGGGTCAAAGGCCCTTTTGGAGCGCCTCTTGTAGCAGCTATATATGGATTCAGTCTATATACTAGTAACGAGGACGCTACTAGGGGCTCCTGGCATCGCTACTAGGAGCAAGGACGCTACTAGGAACAAGAGACTACTAGGGGTATGTATGTGCCAACTGCTGCCACGGTCACCGGTCCCACGACACCACGCCCAGGGCGACGCGGTGACCTTCACGGCGCTGATCAATGCCTGCGCCAAGCGAAGCGACGCCCCGGGCGCCCTCGGGTGGCTGCGGCGCCTCGTGGCGCGGACACCCAGAAAACGGTGGGATGTTCGGTCATGAATCAGGCGTTTGGGATTTTTTGTGGAAGGTGGGCATGTCTGTGATGCGAAGGCACGATTGCAGAACGACCATGAAGAGGGGTTTCATCAATGGTCATCAGTCATCCCACAAAAGGATACAAAAGGACTCCAGGTGACTGACAAGTCGGGGGATCATGGCTGGATTCCTGGATGTTGGGTCGTTCAGGTCCACTCGATGTGTCGATGTGTCGACTTCTGCGCTTCCCGATCTCACGAACAGTTCGTCTCGAGATTGCACAGGTTGACAGAGGGTGGAGCGGTCCCGGAACTGTTGGGGGAAGGCATCTCCGGAACAGAACCCATGTGCAAATTCCCAGAACAACTACTGTATGAACAAAAATGACATGAATTGATTTTATGATACTGTAACTTGATCCATGCTTCTCTGTGGCAAGGCTTTTTCCTTGAGGTTTGTTCATGCCGAGGACGAGCAGCTCCAACCCAACGTGGTCGCCTTCTCCGCTGCGCTCAAGGCTGGTCAATCCGAAGTTGAAGTCCACTGTTTTGGCTGGATGGTCATCCATGTTCGGCTGAGTTGTTCGCACACTTGGCATGATGGCCACGATCTACGATGGTTGACAGGTGTTGTGCTGAAAGGCCGCCGAGACCTCCATCTTTGTCCTGGGCGGTTTCCCCTGAACGTTCTCCACCTGTGTGAGTTGTGTTGCCCAAACCCGCGTACCTTCAGCGTGCCAGCAGCTTGGCTCAACGCCGTTTGCTTAGCACAATGGTTGTCAAATGCAGCCCCTCAAAAAAGAACAGGCCACAACAAACAGTTTCCTGGCCCATACTGTAGTGCCCCACGGTTAAGGACTCCAATCACGAAAATGTCAAGTTTGGACAGCATGGACTTCTGGAACTGGACAAACACGACAGGAACCCGTTTTGTCACACAGATGCGGCCGATTCGCACATCGAAATAAGTGGACTCCGCACATCAAGACCAAGTGCGTTGGGGCTATGGCTATAGGCTATATACCAATTCTAGGCCTGTTCTGACAGAATCATCACCCGCCACCTTGGACAAGAATGTGGGATGATCCAAGTCGACTTGTCATACTGTCATCCATTGACCCAATCACCCTACTGTCGGCATGTCCTGGACCCCACAGCGGCCCTATGGACCGTGGCCCGCTGAAACAGCGCGCGAGAGCAACGGCTCCTGGCCATTGGGACATCAACCTGCCCGGCTGGACCGCCGAGAATGGCTTGAGTTGGCAGAAACCGACCAGGTTTGTGAGAGCTGGCGAAACCCCAAATGAACCTGCGACCTATTCTTGTACTTGAGTTATCGCACAAGAGTTACGTATAAAGCTTCATAAGCGTAATACGATGTACTGTAATACCCATCATGGTTGGTTTGCAGTTGCTTTCTGATAAAAGAAATCCACTTTGGGCTCTCTCCTGTGTGTTTGCCCGCCAGGAGACTTGGGGCCTACGAGGCGATGTGCCCAAGCCTTGTTGGAAGACCACTGTGCTGCGTGACACCAGGTGCGGAGATGGGGAGTGGGGACCTAGGCAGAGTGCCCAGAGGAATCCTAGACGAGCGCGAAAACCGATTTGTGACATTTGATTGCAGTATCATCATTGAATTTGCTCATTTCAGGGCCGCCTGGTCCACACTGCGATATTTAGTAATGCCAGGAGCTGCTAGTAGCGTCCTTGCTCCTAGTAGCGATGGCCTCCAACCTAGTAGCGATGGCCTCCACCGTGCGTAGCCTCTTGTTCCTAGTAGTAATGCCCTTCGCTCATCATTCGCTCATCTGGCAATCGGTCGGATCTGGGGGGGTTGGGGAATAGCGCGCCTGCATGCATGGGGCTGCTGGAGCCCGTTTTGTGGAAGCCCTTACTGGGAAAAACGAACACACACACACACACACCATCACACACCGATATATATATATATACAGTATTTCTACACAGATTCTTTTTTTGACGTGGAGAGAAGAACTTGTTGGTTAGAGTAGGTTCCTTGTGGGAGAGCTCCGCTTCGCCAATTCGCTTTGCACACGTTGCAGGCTTGGCTGGGCGGGGCAGTGCGAAAACCTCTTCCAGCTGGACAAGCTGGATTCTGCGAGGTTGTGCCAGAAAGCCTGCACTGAGGACCCCCGCTGTGCCATAGAAGCAGGAAGGAAGTGGAATTGGAGAGCTGAGTGGTTGGCCCCCCCTCTTCCCATGATGATTCTTGGAGCGCTTGAAACGTCATGCCAATGTCTTCCGGAAGGGTACTTGACTTTCTGCAAAATACTGTGCCTATCCTGATCTTGAACATCTTTTTGAGCACATGGTCGAGAGCTAGCAGCTAGTAGTCGTATCTTTTCATCTTGAGGGGGGGCGTTGTCACACAGCTCCCCATCCATCAGGTTCTACCGGCTTTTCGCATTTGGCACTTGGATTTCTCATTCTGAAGACCCCTTAGAACCAAACATCGCTTGCTTGAGGGTCCCGGTGAGTATGCACCCTGGTGCAGGGTCCCCGGTTCGCAGCTTTTTGGGACGCAAAGACGCCGCGCCCTAGGCCCTGTGTGGCAGTTCCGGCAAGGCTCACAGACCTGCTGGGTCCGAACGCCCAGTACAACAGCCGCGTTTCAGGACATGGGAACCACATGGTTCGACGTTAGACGTTTCCCCCCCAAAAAATACAGCTTGGGAGACCTTTGTTACGAAGTTCTGTTGGACTGATGTGCATTAGGAAAGAATTGCGCAGATACTGGTGTCAGAATTCAGGGAGCTTTTGATACTAAGGCTGCGTGAAGTTTTAAGGAGCCCCCTTTCTCGGGGGAATTCTATCCATACTTGACTTCCGAGCACCTTCCTTAACTCACAGCACTTTTGTTGGATGACTGTGCTTCGCATTCTTGAAGCCCTTCACTTGGGCTGGGAAAGGCTGTCGGTCGGTTTCCTTGAACGCTTGTAAACGTTGCTTTGTTTCTTGTCAACAAATTCAATATGATTTCTTTGCCTTCTGGTTTGTGAGGCTGTGAGGCTGCTTGTTGTTTTTGTGACTTTGTGCCTCTTTTGAACTACACACTGAGCTTGTGCACACGGGGAGGCATTTGATTTGCCAACCTTCTACCCCTTTATAGCCCCATGGCGTCTTTGGAAGTCTGCCACAAGCAAATTCAATTGGCCCCCGGTTAGGTTACAGTTACAGAAGCTTCGCAAGACTTGTTTCAGAGAAGGTGAAAGAAATAGATAAATAAGGAAAGGAAGGTAAAGAAAGAGTGTGGCTGCAGGTGCAGTTGCTTTCCGACATGTAAAATATTTTAACTGTTTAACGACTTTTTTGTGGTAATTATAAACAACATTCTTCTCGAGAGTCTCAGAGGATTGAACGTGCAAAGGTTCATTAGTCACCTCACCGAAAGGGAGCGAACGCCGGAGAAAGGAGATGTCACAGTCACAGCCGGCTATGGAATTGAGTGTTCTTCCCCTCCGACCAATCGGAACGCTAGATTCTCGTTTTCGTCCGGGAGCTGATCAACCACAGACGGAAACACCGGGTAAGTTTGAGCCGCGGACAGAATGGTTCTGTGCAACAATATGCTCATGTGCACAGACTTCTAGGGCATGACCCTCAGCAAGAGTTAAACAATGTTAGCCGTGGGGTTCACAAAGTTGAGCGAAAGTCAACCATAAACAAGCATTGCTTTGGGAACTCTGCAAAACAACCACCCACATCTCATCACTTCCCCGATTCGGTGCCAAGGTGGGCTTCGGTGTCCGTTGCGATGGCCCGGGGGCCGCCGCGTCTGCGACACCGGCCGCGCTGAGTGCGGAGGAGGTGTTGGCGCAGCGGCTGCTGCATGGCACGGTCTACGTGGTGCGGGAGTTGGTGGGGGTGACTTGGGCTGGCTGGTTATGAAGGGAGCGACTGGGCAACTTGCATCCAAAGTCGCAAGAAAAGGGAAGGATAAAAAATAATTGATTTGGAGTTCTTTCAGGGAATTCTCGGCTGGGACCAGAGACTTCAGCGGCTAGGCGGATGACAGGGGCACTGACGCGGGGCACCGGCCTTGGGAGCTCCGAGGGCACCGGGATACCGACGCGGGGCGAGGTGAAGGTGAAGAACCTCTTCCAGCTGGGTGGCCAGGGCTCAGATGCACTTCACATCGAGCAATGCAAGGAGGGAAGGGTTGGTTCATGGTCCATGATTTTTTTTTTGCCTTTTCCTTGGGTCTTGTGAGCATCAGTGCTGTATATATATATTATATAATATTATATATATATATATATATCTGTGTGTGTTTGTATATATATATATACATTTATTTATATTTGTTTTTCTTTGTTTTCTGGGGAGATGAAACCTCAGGCTTGGTGTTACTCCAACATCGCCTGTCAGTATTGGCAGTTCTCCCAGACCGGGGGCTGCTTCGTTGACGCGCCGATGTTGAGTAAGACTCACGTGGTGCAATACCCATTGACCACTGCAGCGCTGACGACAGATGCAACAGACATCATTGCAGGGGAGTACATCCATCACTACTGCCCGAACCAAACCATGGCGGATGTGGATGATGGAGCTGCATCACGCGTACCTGCCAACATGGTGGTTCCACATTTGGATGCCGAGGGGCCACGCATTTGGCCCTGGGTTTTGGTGCGCTGCAATTTGCTCAGTGAGTTTCTTGTGTGATTTGTTTGTCAGGGGCATAGCCTGCCCAACCACTCATGCTCATTTCACCCTGTGGAATGCCGGGCTGGGGGCAAGACGACACCCTTGACCTCCCTTCCTGCCAGGTCAGTCTCCTTCTCACCGTGGTTTTGGCCATGGCCGCCTTGGCCTACTACACGCTGATCTGGAAGCGGCGCACCAGCTCCCGTGCCAGAAGACCTGTGCATGCTGCGCCAAGCCAGCCGCAAGGCGTGAAAGACGAACGAAGGGGGACCGGGAGGGCGAGTGTCCTTGGAAAGTGATGTTTCTTGTTTCTATTTATTTATTTATTTTTACTTGATGTGCTTGGGAGAACCTTTGCCTCAATCTGTAGGAGCTCCTCTTCCCACAGTAGTTGTGAAGCGCACGTGCCTTTTTTGTCTCGCAAGGCCGGCTCGGCTAGGCCTCAACGTTCCCCGTATGTAAGCATGTCGGCCAGCTTGCGACGCCAGGTGGCAGCTTCTTGCCAGTCCAAGTGGCACAACTTCAAGCCCGGTCACCCGTGCCGACTCCCTCCTCCGGCTTCCCGACGCCCCAGCGCCACCATGCAGTGGGGACCCCAGGTGCAGCACACTTCAGCCCTTTCGGAGGCTACTCTCCCGTGGCACCATCACCCTTCCACGTGCGCTAAGAAAAATGAAGGGCTGGATGGGCAGGGTGGTTGTGTTTTATTTTTGGTGGGGGGGGTGCATTTGATGTACCACAGTCAATTTAGTCACGTCAATTATTACACTTTGAACAGATCAGGTCCCTCTTGACAACTGGGGTGCGATACACTCGAAAGCACGCCATACTGTCGAAAGCACGCGATACTGGGGGTTTTGTGTGCCTGCTTTCCTTCCAGAATGGGGAAGACATACACAAAGACGATTCGACTGGAGGATGATGAGGGAAGAATTCCCGCATCAACTGGAGCTGCCAGGCCTGCGCACGAAGTGCAAAATCCGATGAGGCATCAAGCCTTTGGCAGGCCGGGTGCAGGTAATTTTCACGCAGCGTGCCGATCACAGGACATCACAGGACATCTAGCGCGCTGACTGGCATTGAATTGTAAGCCCATCGTGTCGGATTCATCGGCAAGGCCATGGAGTCGCAGTTGGTTGCGCCGAACATCATCGCAGTGACCTCGGCCATCGAGGTCTGTGCCAAGAGCCGACCTAGGCAGGCCGGGTGCGGAGTGGAAGACGGCGACTCAGACGGGTCAAAGTCGCTCCTTGCACGTGTTGGGACAGCATGTTGTCGGAGTCGTGTATGGTTTGGACGTGGTGGGACGGCATGCCGAAATACATGAGACTCCTTAAGTCGCCTTATTGGCAATCGCGCGCATCCGAAATGGCCACCTAGAGCCAGGGGTGCCCTTTTCTTAGAATATCCTGTGATATTATTGGGTGTAAGATGCCGCATTTTTTGATTCCACCAGATTCAACAAAGAATAGTGGCCCCCCCTGTGCCGATTGGAGGCGCACCGTGGAGGCGGAGGAGCTCTTCCGGCGTTGGATGAGGAACTCTTCGGCGCGGCCCGACACCAAGCTGATGCGCCGCTGAGCAGAAAGACATGAAGGGAACCTCTCGGTCCTGTGGAGGGGAAGCGCGTATGGTGGGACACCCTGGCTGGTCCGCGGCTTATCATGTGGTGATGCAGTATACATGGCCCGCTGGCTTGTGGCATCTAAACATTCGGCGTGTTACGAAGATGACCGGGTTTCAGTAGCGATTGAGAAGTTTCTCGTCCTGCGGTTGAAGAACCTTCCACCGCGTCTTGAGCGACATGGGCGGTGGTCCCGAGGAACATGAGTCTTGGGTTGGGGGTCCGCTTTTTGCTCGAATTTCTGATGTGGCCAGTCTCCGACCATGAGGCACCATGATGCGTGCCGTGGGCATGACGAAGTGCATGGAGCTTTGCCGGGAATTTGGAGCTCCTTCGGCAAAGCTCCTTTATGTTTATCTTCTTTTCTCCTCTCGGTGAGCCGATGCGATACTGTCAGTGGTGCTGTGCAGAAGCAGGCGTACGGCATATTTTGCTCGACAAGAAGCGAATCCTGCCTGGTGTTCACGGGAGATCACTCAGGAACTCCATTGCCCGCTGACCTTGATACACCTATACTATACCTGGGCAAAAGGGTCTTTTTCAACCACACCTGGCCAGTGCCACTCAGAGCTCCTCCTCCTCCTCCTGCTTCTTCTTCTTCTTCTTCTTAAGACTAAATCAGGATGCCTAAGGGGCGAGCTGCCGAGGTCGTGGATGCTGCGCTGGAAGCTCTGGCGGCCTCCTTTCCAAAAGCGGACGAAGAAAGGGGCGGGATGGGGCGGGCTCGGAGTTGCATGAAGCTGAAGCTAATTCCATTTATATAGTAATGTTTGATGTAATGAAATGTAATGTTATGCAAGTATATGCTATGTTTGTTTAAAATGTAATGTATGATGCATATAAGGTATGTATATGATGTACGTAATGTAAATTGATGCTATGATATGTTGTTTTGTGTTATGTTATCTAGGATGTAATGTATAAAGGTCCAGGTAATGTAATGGAATGCAATGCAATGGTATGGTAGTAAAGTGTAGTGTAATGTAGTGTAATGTAATGTAATGCAATGTAATGTAATGTAATGTGTTACATGCATGCATGCATGCACCGATACATAGGGAACATGTGGAACTAGATTAACTAGATTTGGAAGGTCAATCCTCTTCATCTGATGTTGATGTTGCCTTTGACCAAGCAGTGGCCATGGGTGCGTCCGCAAACATTATGGTGAGTGGAAACTGAAACAACCGTATATATATATAGTTGCATACACATTTATTGACCAATCAGTCAGTCAATCAATCAATCAAATATAACTAAATTAAAAAATATATATATATATATATACATACACATAACATATGTGACATATGTGCAACTAAGGCTTCCGCGTGTACTCAGCGTACTCAGCGTGCTCGTGTTGATCCCAACTGTACCGCACCCTCGAACACGGTATTGCAGAAGGAACTTCGAAGCCACCAGACAAGACCTGAAGTCCTGCTTGGCCACCTTCGCTTTGGACAACGAGCGTGGAAGTTACCCGGGGCATCACTGCGGTCGTTAGGGTCAAACTTAGTTGAGGAAAAATATCCTTTGGTGGCAGGATTTGGGGCGAGAAGCATCGACTTTTTCCACCATGGGAATGGGACCCCCCTGTTGGTAGAGGGTTGGCCTTCCTTCGACTTCATTCGGGTGAGTCCGGGTATCTCCGCATTTGTTTTTGTCACCGCAGTTTTTTTGCTCCGAGCCCGATGAGTAGATGCAGCTTTTCGGGCAAAACGAGCATGTGCTGGCTACGTGAGGTGTGGAAGTCCGATTGATATATGGGTTGGGAGGGATGACGGATGGGGATAGGCTGCAGATGGGCTGGGGCATCCACCGCAGGCAAGAATGGACCTAATAACTTGAGGCCTTGATCAATACCAAACCGATGCACGGCATGCTATATACACTTGCTGTTTCTCTCCCTTTCCACACTTTATTTGCTCCTGCTGTTCTGTTGCTCTCGCAATCCAACGAACTCCGAACCACCCTTGGCTATATGAAGCTGAACGTTGGACATTGGCCGCCCGCCGCGTCGTGATGTCCGTGGGGGGGTGAACGGCTGGGCGGATGGTCCTTCAGCTTCTGACCACTCCTTCTCGACCTCAGGTGGCCGTTGGTGGTCCGTGGCCAGTGCCCAAATGGGGTGTGTCTCATCCGCCCCTTGCACGCGGTTGGACAGGGCTAGGATCATACGAAGAGGATTTACCAGCCAACCAAAGAAGATGAACATGATCAACCTGTTTTGGTTTCTTCTTTCCATCCACCTCCTGGGTGGTGCATCACACCCAACCACGGGGCACAATGCAACATACAGGGCCGGAACCCAAAAGACAGGTGCGAACGTGACATATGATAGTGGACCTGGACATCCACTTGTAGCGAAAAACATCGAGCACATGAAAGGTGAAATCAATGCAAAATACCAGATCGAAGCAAGTCAGCTCACGCGGCGACGTGAGTGAGCTGAGCCAATTGTTGGCCAAGCCACACAAGAGTGAGTTATGGACCGGTTCTGCAGAAGGAGCAAGGAGCCACATCGTGCAAGGTGCAGACACATCGAACTTGCTCCATTCAATTCAGCTAGTACAATCAGCTAGGTGAAAAATTGTTGGTGAACACTGAACACTACTGAATCAGTATCCTCGAGGGCAGCCACGTTCCCCCTCTCTTGAGGCAGGGAGCAATAAGGAGACTTCAGTTCAATAGAAACAGAAACCATTTTGCCACCTGATCCTCTTGGGAGCGTGGGTCCCTGCTTCGTGGCGGGTGCTGTGTGCGGCTACATTGTAGCCACGCCAGGCTTAGGTGACAAGAAATGTGGGACCGTTTTCCCCAAGACCTGCACATGTTTAGCAAACATCAACATCGGGAACTTGTTTCATCACGGACTTCGGAGGGGGTTTGCTGCTCTCAAATAACCTGGATTCCAGGATGCATGGATCTACTGAGTTTAGCTGTTGGGTCCGGGCTACTGTAAATAGAAACTCCACATGGCGTGGATCAAGATGCAGGTCATGGAGCACCCTTGCGCTCGGACCCGGATGGGTTTATCTTCCTCGCTTTGCATAGCTGGTAACATCTATCCAAGAAACTACTAGGGGCTCCTGGCCTTACTACTAGGAGCGTTCGGACGCTACGAACGGAGCATAGAACGGTAGCTCGCTACGAACGGTAGCGACGGACCGTTCCACCACGCCGCACCGGAACCGCCCGCCGTTCGTGCCTCGCCTTCGCTTCCTGAGGCGAGCGTGACACCATTAGACACTGCTGAGGGCCAGCCGCGTGGCAGACAGCTGGTTGGGTTGAGCTCGGTGGAGCTGAGTGACTGGAGCTCGGTTGAGGTGATGACGTGTGCTTGATGACACCGTGATGCCTGGGAAAGCAGATTTTCTGCCACCACCAAGTCTACCGACTTTGGGGGTTACATTAGCCTGGCTTCATGAAGCCCTAGTAAACGCGCAGATATAATCCTTCAGAAACTTATTTGGGTTGTCTCCTGATGAGAGGCTGGGTGATCAAACTGCTGGTGTCAGCTCGTGGGGGAAATCATGCTAGCTTGTGCGGCCCCGGGTGCCAAGAGGAGGGACCCCAAACAAAGCTATGGCCCGGGTTGAATTTGGCAACCAGGAATGCATTAGATCATTAGGTGTGACTGGCCACGGAAAAGAGAAAGGTGCAGGTGCAGGCCTGCTCTAAGTTTTCTCCCTAAGAATCTAGGAACCAAATCATTAGTGCAAGCGCTTTCTTCAAGGAAGCTCCCCCGGCGGCGGGGGGCGGCTTCCTTGAGGAAGTGTGAGCTATCCTGCATCCTAGCTGGAGCGAACTTCTCCTAGTAGCTTACTTCTCCCTACTTAATTGAGTAGGAGCGGGCTAACAAACAAGTTTACTTCCTATCGCAGCTTGTTCCAAGACTCGTTCCGTTGTTGTTGTTGTTGCTGCTGCTGCTGCTGCTGCTGCTGCTTTTTGGCTGTTGTTGGTGTTGGTGTTGTTGTTGTTGTTGTGGTGGTGGTGGGCCCGGCAAGATCTCGTACCGGCTGAGATTCTTCCAGCACTACAAGCTTGGTAAGAAGTTGGGCGAGGGAGCCTTCGGGCAGGTTCGCCTGACCACCAGGTCGGGGCATTTGTCTCGCAGACTTGTTGAGATGCAAGATGAGTACAGTGGGAGCGTGGGAGGATGAAGCCAATGGTTAATTTAATTGGGTGATGTTTTGTGGGGGGCCAGAGGCTGAATTGAATGATGGGCATGCGATGTTACATGGCAGGCCAGATGACTTGCAACATCCTGCTGACGCAGTCATGATTGGAATTCCTGCTTAGCTGCTTCCATTCCCCCCCTCAGAGCATTTGACTGAAATCCCAGAGGCCTTTTCTTTTGTTTTTTTCGGGAGCACCAAGTGCTCATGTAATAAACATCAGTGTTGACGTTGGTATGTCAGGATGGACTCTGGGGAAATGTATGCTGTGAAGATCATGGACGTGCGTAGCTCCAGGGATGTTCCTCGGCCGTGAACCGTGCGGCCCGGGCGGTTGCCCCGGCGAAGAAGTGCTGACAGGAGACCAATAGCACTCCGCATCCACGGTGCTGCACCGTTACGAAAGTGGAATGAATTGGAGGTGCCCCCCCGTCTCAATACCGTTTCCAGTAGCAACCAACATGAGTAGCAGCTAGCATTCAAGAAAGTCCTATGATTCTAACTGTTAACCTGCTTAGCTAGACCTACCCAGTTGTACATCCTGTGGTGTTCACTGCAAATTGAATGCCTGCGGTCGCTGCCTCCACTGAAGAGCAAAGGTTGAGAGGCTGGATCAAGACATCCTCAGGCGGGTTTGCTCTTGGGGTTTGTAGACGGAAACTTCAACTTCCCACTTGGATGGTGGATGAACAGGTGCAAGAGGATACCCTCCCAGTCACCAGGTCTTTGTCGAAGAGAAGCCACGGTGCCTGTATTCTTACAGAAGTATAGGCCAGAATGCTCTTTTCTTTGGGGTGGTGGTGGGGGTGCCCAAATTCATATGCTTCAACATGGTTTTTGGTTCCGTGTCGTATGACCGAAGGTCTGACTGTCACTGCATCGACAGCTTTTGAAAGCCAAACTTCTCCCCTCATTCGCAGGGAGGCGAAGAACGAGGCGCGGCTTTTGAAGGAAGTCTCTGGACACCCAAATGTGGTCGCCCTGTCACCTGGCGAAGATGACACCACCGACTAGCGGGCTGCCACCGGGGTTTGGAAGAGTGTCAGGGCAGCTGGCGCAGGGCTTGGAAGAGTGTTACGAACTGTTTACGGCAAAGGGAAAACCACGCAGTTTGGGAAGATTGGAGCGGGAAGTGGTGGAGTATTCAATGGAGTATTTTGGGGTGATGCTTTCAGTGACTCCCCACCCTTTTGAAACCGCAACCAGTTGACAGCTTGGCCGAGCTGAGGCATGAGACTTACTTGGAGTCACCTGGGCTGTTCTACATGATCATGGAGAGGCCAAGGAACTTCCAGTCATCACGAAAGCTAGCACCAGCTAGCTGGAGTTGTTCTTGCTTTAGCAAGTGAGGGGCTGGAATCCTCAAGAGCGTCGCATCGTGTGAAAACTTCATACATAGGAACCCCCCGCGGGTTCAACTGAACTCCTCCCTGGGACGTCTCTGGGACATGTGTATTTTCTCTGGCAGGGGGCCGACTGTTCCTGGCGGCAGGATTTGGAGAGAAGAAGCTATCTGAACAGCAGACATGG